ACCGGTAGGTCGAGAGTCACCCGTATTTGGCGCAGAAGAAGCTGAAGGAGTTCTGCGAGAAACGGGGCATAACTCTGACGGCGTACTCCCCGTTAGGCAATCCCGGCTCCAGCTGCAACGATAAGCCCGATAAGGGACAGCTCCTGAAGGACCCGGTAGTCCTACGACTGGCCCAGAAGTACGGCAAAAATGCCGGTCAAATACTACTCAAGTTTCAGGTATTCATACAAAAGCAACATGTATATTTTATTACTAGTATACTAATAGTTATTTTTTATCTCCATTTCCGCTGACCTCCCGGTGCCCGACAGACGGATAGAGGGCTGATAGTCGTGCCTAAGAGTGTGAATGCGGATCGGATTAAGACTAATATCCAGATATTTGATTTCAAACTAACCCCGGATGAGATCCAGGAGCTGGAGGGACTGGACTGCAAATACCGGTCCAATCTGTTTGAACAGACCGTTGAACTGCCGAATCACCCGTTCCTCCCGTCCATTGATTTTTAATTAAATTTTTTTTGCTTAAGATTTGTCTCTATATTAGACATTAAAATATGATTTGATTTTTTGGGAATACTTTGACTTTTTTGTATTAATTTTGTGTTCATTAATGGTATAAATTTAAAATAAGCATTACCTTTATCTCTATAATAATAATTATATAATCTATGATTAAAATGTTTAGTAATTTCATTACATTATTGTTTAAATAAATAAATATTAATTATCAATGTGTTTGTTAATTATGTTTAAAACATAACTCTTATCCAAATATTATTGCTAGGTATATTAAATTTTACTTTCTAGAAATTAATGTTCAGTAAACTTTGTATTATTATATATTTTGTCAATTATTGTTAGTTATAAATTATAAGTCTTATAATAAAATGATTTTTAGATGAATACAATGTATTAATTTGTTTATGCTATACTTTGTAATAACTAAATTACATTTAACTTATAATAGTTTTCCTATTGTTTTAAGATAGATAATTTTTATATATTTTGATGAATAAAAAATGTAATGATAAAAGGTTTTATATTTGAATAATATTTAACTTAAGATTTATGCTTTACTTTACATTTAAAAATTAATAATAATAATAAATAATAACTTCCAATGTATATTAAATACTACAAAAACACATAATACATATAAACAATTAAAACTAATATTAGTATTGATACTAATATACGATAAAATATTTTGTTGTGTTTGTGTAATATATTAAGTTCATTATTTAGCTCAATGTTGTCACATTACTTAATATATATTTATAAAACACGCAAAACATTTAGATTTATTATAATGTATATTGATTTTTAATAAATAAATAAATACAAGTTATAAAACATTTGTATAATAATATTATTTAACATTTGATTTACACTCCATTTTCCAATTATACACAAAAGTAATTAAATATAATATCTTTTTCTAATGCTATTAAATATAAAATAATATACTATTTATGCAAAACACACTATTTATGCAGAAAAATACAATATAATAATTAAAACTAATGTCAATTTTAATATAATAAAAAATAAAGTATTTATATAAATACAGAGTTTTCTGAAAATCACAAACTTTAGTTAGTTTTAATTTTCATGAAAAACATTGTCAGATAAAAGTTGAAGTTTACGGTTAATTTACCCTAAGAATGTTGGCCTGGGATGACACCAGTGCAGGTCAATCACGGAGGTGTGACAACACTATCTGTAAAATATGTTTCGCTTTCATATCTAATATTTTGAGTACTATTTGGACAACAATTAGAGTCAATTTATTTATTTTAAACATTTAATTTGAATCCTGCATGTTCATACAAATCAAATTAAAATTTTAACTATCTCATTTTGAATTATGTAATTTATTAAAAAATATATTAACTCGTTATATGAAACAGAGACAACTAAAAAAACATTTAACTTCAAAAAGTTTCAATTCATTTTGAAATAAGTTCATTAATTTTTCATTTTATATTTGCGATACACTGTACACTAGATTATTAGTTCCTAAAGGGTTTGGACCCCATATTTATAGCAAAGTAATTAAGCAAACAACTTTCAAACCCATAGCCATAGCTCATCTAAAAGGAGTATTCATACGGTTTATCATTTGCATGTCGGTTGCAATACTGGATATAAGTATCAAAATACAGTACTAATTAAATTACACACAAACACAGTATAGAGTACAACAATATTTCCGAGTTATTACCGAATATTTCACTTTATTTAAGACAATTAATAATCAAATTATTCAATTTATATTGTTAAACTCATAAATCATTCAAAAATACGTTATTATGTATTAAAGCGACGCATTGAGAGCACCACCATCTGAGACAAAGTTAATTCCCGTCACAAACGAGGACTCGTCGGACGCCAAGAATAGTATGGCGTTCGCGATGTCTATGGATTCACCGACTCGTCTGATGGGATATTTGGCACTCATGTCATCGTATCTCTGGTCCCTCTGTTGGTCAGACATTCCCAACGCATTCAGGAAATTGGTTCTCACGGCAGCCGGACTTCAAAACAAATACATTACTATTGATTCAAAA